TGGGGCGCGGGCGAATCGGAGGGAAGGAGGCCCCGCGCCCACCAAAGCAGGTCCGGGTTCCCATATCCAGCGCAGGTGCAAGGTCTTTTGTTCGCCCAGCTGCATACGTACCTGTTCTGTACATTATTTGCTTCATTTTGTTTTATTAAATGGCACTCGGGCACGCATTGCGGAAGAAGATGAAAACATCAACCATAATCGTTTCCCTCCTCCCGGACCCCAATAAATAATTCACTTTTAGAGATGTTTATTTGTTTTTTGACAATGTCATAAAAATAAACGACGGATATCATGGAAATGGTGATGACAAAAAAATACTAAACTTTCTATTTCCTTTTCCTCCCGCGCTGAGTGCGAAGTCGCGACTCGTGACCAGGCGATGTAGTTCCATCGCGAAGAGCGTGGCGATAACCAAAAAATCGTGTCGCAGCCATCTACACCGCAGCAGCGCGTCAGCTATCCGCCGAGTAATGACAATCTAGTTTCTAGTAACACCCCCTCCCCCCCTCCTTCCCCTCCCGGAGGATCGGTTACGAGGCTGACGCTGCTGCTTGTCTTTCGTTACGTTACGCTCTCGGCCTCGCGCCGTGCGTTCAGCTCCCCTAACGCCGCCGCCGCGGCTAAGTGCAAGTGCAAATGAGCGAGCATCGTTACGCGTTATGGCCTGTGGTCTCGATGCATCTGGTCACTAATCACACTGTGAAAAGTAGTTTGTTCGTACATGTACCCTGATATATTTTGCAATTTACCAATCAAAAAATTGTGTCGTAGGCAACTTCCAACTATCCTGTTCGTCATTCTATTACAAGTCAATAAGGAGTGCTTGTAAATTTCAAGTACACTTTAAATGACCAAGGACATTTTTTGTAACTACCTGAGGACGTTTTTAAACATAAGCTACAATTTTGTGGGTCGTTAGTAACTACTTGCAACTAACAACACACAATCGGCAGTCAAATTTGTTCCTAGCTTAGTTATGTTTAAAATCGTCCATAGGCAGTTACAAAACTGGCCATGGTCATGTAGTGTGTAATTTTGAATTGTATAGTTGTACGACATGTTTCCATGGAAAATTGTCCTGTACCTGGTAAGACGCAGTTTTTCACAGTGCACGTAACGAGGTGAATCAAATGCGCGACGTCCTCGCTGAGATGACGGTCTCGTTCAGAATGATGAGCAGTTGCAGCTTAGATTCGGAACAAAAGAAAAAGAAACGCAACTAGGAAAAAGGAGTGGTAATGGTGGCATATCGTGAGCTAGGCAACTCAACTGCGTTACTTTTTCCGGTAGGCCCGGGAGAGGGTGGGGCGGGGGGGGGGGGGTCAGTCGGCCTCGATCGTGCCGTGTTTCCAGGGATTACCATGAAAACGCTTCGCGTGATGGGGCATATGTGGTGGTCATGCGATCATGAGAAGGGAAGGGACCGACTCCTTTGTTCCAATCGCGAGTGTGAGTGAGCGGTCGGACCGCTGAGCTAAGCGCCCCCCCCCCCCTCCCCTTTCCCCGGCAAGGCCGACGGAGAGCGTTACACTGTTACGCCACTGTCACACATATTCCAGGCCCTTTACCGGAGGCATCTCTTCAGTGTGAGACGCCCCAACTCCTTGTCAAAAATATGTTTTGGAAAAACTGCAATTCACGGGTCTAAATACAATCCTGTCATTTTTAAATTATTTTTCTTGAGGGGAGGGGGGATTTGGAGGGAGAGGTGAGGGAGAGGTGATGGTTTGCTAGTAATTTTGTTCTATTGCCGGTCCATACAGTAAATAATATTTTGAACGATGTATGCATTAACTCTTTGCATTTGCAGGGTGCTGTTCGATCATCCCACTACCGCCAGCGCGCCAAGCAGACAACCGGTCCTCCCGGCGGGAGGAGCGGGGGTGCACGTGTAGAGTGTGCGAAGTGATGCAGGACCCGCCGGCGCTGTCGGAGTTCACTGTCACGGCTAATTACAATAGCCATCATCAGGACCATGATTTATTGCTCCCAGTTAGCACCATTATTACAGTCGTCGTGTACACGTGATTATGGCAATTATCGAGCGGGGGATTCAGTGAAAGTTGTCAAACGCATGTTGAGCGCGTGCTGGACGACGGATAGAACGCGCACTCCAAACCACAGGGAAACAAAATCCCCCAAAGGGGTCAGATATTTGTAAAAATTCCGTCAATTGGCAAATCTCTATACCTTTCTCGTTGGACTTCACATCCCAAACGTGAGAAATGAGAAATGTTAGTGCCTTGGAGGGGCGCGAGTATCACCGTGTGCCCCTACAGAGGCACTCAAACAATAGGGTACTCCGCTAGAGCGCGGAGCGGAAGTAAGAAGAACAAAAACGGAAGGCGGAAAGGCGCCCGGGCGGCGGCGCGCTGCTGGGCGGAGAGGGGGAGCGCGCTAGCCAGCCGCTCGGGGCTCCGCTCGGCGGCGCAGCCGAGCGGAGCCGAGTCGCCCCCACTCCTCCCGGCTCGGGCCGCTCGGGTGGCGGGGGGCGTCGCGTTCGCTGCGCTCGTAGTTTCGGAGGATTGAGGAGCGGACTTGAGGCAGGCCGGAGGTTTTAACCTTTCACGACGATTTTCGAACGGTGTCTGCCTGTTGTGTATGAAAAAAGTAATAAAGCGTTTAAATATTAATGGATGAGTATTTTCAAAATCCAGTTTTAGTTAAATCTTTATAATGTTTTAACAGTTTAGCGGTTATGTCGGCAAGAGAGTGCAAGTGCTTTCACTTATTTTTCACACCGAAATAGTCATAGTTTCTCGCGTTGTCAACTGTGAATGACTGGAGGGAAGTTAAAATTATATCTTCTAGTGACACTCTGTTGAAAATGTCTTCCAAAAATTTCTTCACTTTTTAGAAATGATGACAGTGAATATGGGGACACCTAACCCCACTGATTCACAAACCTTTAAGAAAAATATTACTGGCATTGTCATTTCTCATTGCCAGCTCCACACATTCACTCTGTGTTATATGAAAATATTAATTTGTGCTAAAATCAAGATGTTCTTGAAATCATGTCTTTCACGCAGTAACATTTGCTAATCAAAAATACCCCAGTGTCATATGCGCTCAAAGTATTACTTGTTTTTTTAGCTTTCCACTTTGGTCACTTTTTGTGTTGTGCTGAAGGATCTTAATTCAAGTTTGTCGGCTCTCACATTTACCTTAGAATGGTGAGTTCAATCGCAAACTGGTTCTCATTTCATCTCAATTCTTTTAATACATAAAGACTGTCTGTCTGTTTAGACTGGAAGTAAGAAAAGACCACTTCAAAGAAGCCCTTCCAGCAGACTTCGGAAAAAAGTTGAAAGTCAACTTATTTCAAACCACAGCCCGAGAAGCCCTTATGAGAAGAAGTTCAAGAAAGCTGTCATTTTCTCACCTCAAAAGAGAAAATTTCCGAAGCTGTTTGGAGCGGTAGATAGAGCTGGGTATGATTCTGTTCTGGCTAAGGCAAGTAATTTAAAGGCTAGTTATCTTTTGTAATTCTACGAAACCCATGGGGACGACCTCCCTTATGCTCTTCATTTCTTATTTAATACATGAATTATGTTTGCAGCCTCTTCAGGACAAAGAGAACCTTTCGAAAGGTGCTCAGATATCTGAAGTAGTCACTTTCAATTGCAGACGAAAATCAACAAAATCATCTCAGGATGCAGTAAGTTTTCTAATGCATGTTGTTATTAAAGTTACCCTCTGATGTATTAATATATACACAACCACATAGCTTTATCCTGGGTGAATAGTGTTGTTATAGGCTACTTGAATGTCATTTCTTTCTACATAGGAGTGTAATGAAAGTGAATACTCAGATATCAGTACTGTTACTGCAGAAGTCTCACCTTTGAGACTTAATTTAAAACGTGCCACTGAGTGTTGTAGCCAGAGCACAACTGTTACTGCAGAAGTCTCACC